AATTCGTTATTTTATCCAACCATTCGTTTCCTCTTTGCCCCCTTATCGAACGGATTTCGATCGATCGATACTTTACAGATTTATCGTATTCGGACGAATCAATTTTTCCACTCGGCGAAATATCATATCCCTCTTATCGAGCTATTTCATCGCTCTCGTGTGAGGAAACGAAGACGCCGTCGAGTTTCTTCGCGTCGTTGAAAAGAAATCAACGTATCGATGATCCGCGTGATCCGCGAGCGAATTGTATCGCGTTTTTATTATATGGCGACGTTTTTCGTAACAAACGTTTTTCTTCCAAAGTTAACAGAACCAGCTCGAAGCCAAACAGAAACAGCAATTAACAACGTACACGTAATTAACTACTTTCAATATTTCCCGACGAGGAAAGAATAGCTTCCCGATTGAAACCTAACAACGGCACAAATTAAATATTCAACCGCGCCCCGATCCACGCGCTCCCTGTTTCGAACATTAGTGTTATGGCACGGTCGGATGACTCGATGACAATAACGATCGATGCATATTCACCGTCAACGATCATTATCCGTCGTTTTGCATCGATACGCCGCCCGAATCGTCCCCCGAGTTATATCCATGCCCCTCTGTCATTGAAATATTTTTAAAAAACGGTTCGTTTTCAATCGCCCCGAGGTTGGAAGAAAGAATCGAATTTCTACGAAGGGAATTAAACGAAAATACGAAATGACAGGGAATAAGAAAAAGTATCTTGCTACGTTTTAAATTAAACGGTTCGAAATAACCGTTATATCGAAATAACGTTGATCATGCTTGCCCTCCCATATATCGAAATTATTTAAGCTAGTTAAGCAGCTCTCAAATACAATTTTAATTTTCAGACAACAACCTAATTAATCTCCACTTCGAAACGCATTTCTCGGATTAGAAACAAGAACGTCTCTCCTTGTTTTCTACTCTTTTACTACTCTTTTCCTATTCATCCCCATTTTGAATGAAAACGAACGGAAAAAAAAACTCGATTGCATTCCACTATCGAAACAGGAAAAACGAGGAGAAACGAGTGCTGCATACGCATTATATTTATCAGAATATGCGGTGAGCAAAGAAACCTCGATTAATTAGTCAGGCTAGATCAAGAAGAAAGAGAGAGAGAGAGAGAGAGAGAGAGAGAAGAAAAAAGGAACAAAATTAAATATTCTCGCCCGCGGTTGATATTATAACGCGGTCAAATATTTCGCTTCGGATATGACAACGTGTGCCGGCATACTCGGCCGGCTCACGTTCGCGAGCGCAGCTGCACCTCTCTCTCTCTCTCTCTCTCTCTCTGTATACGTGTGCCATTGTGTCGACTGTTAAGCATTTGATACGGCCGCCTTCCTGTCGCGCGTCCATTGTCGTCGCCCCGTTCGCGACGTAACCGAGCCACCCGTGTTCTCGGTGTGCGCTACGAATCACCCAGCGATACGATATGACGATGCTCGCTTCTGTGACAGCGTTTCCCAAACTAATTTACCCCGCGCCGCGAGCCGCCTCGTTCGTGTTCGGCCTTCGAGAAATGGACGCCAGGAATATATATATATATATGTATATATACACGCTATCGTCGAGAATTGTGTGTGAATAGAATAGAAAATCGAGAATTTTTCAGAGATTTGCCGTTTCAAATTACGACACGTTCGAAAGATAATCGTTTGTTAATACGAGCACGTTCAAAAGTTATGCGTTAACTTTTGAAATGGATCGAGAGAATCGAAGAGTGGGGGAGATCGGTTAAGACAAATTAAGAAAAATGTTGAATTGAAATGTGGAAACGTGTTATTATTACGGGAATATTTCTTTATGAGTAAGTGAGCGAATGTGTATTGGATTACGAGACGAGACATTGGGAAACGCTGGGCGTACGTATAGGTGTACGCGCCATCCAGTTTCACGTTGTCGGTGTACGCACCTGTGCATACAATACACCGTCGCGCGCTTCACAATAACACGAGAATGTGTTTGTGAGCGCTTCTTCCTTAAGCTAGGCGGTCGAGTGGTTTCCAGTGCAACTCCGACCGCTTCGGCAATGGCTGCGATTATTCGGACAATTTTTGCGCCGCTTCCTCGCTCGTAATCGCTCGCTTTCTCGCTCACCGTCCCGGTCTAGTGCAGTGTGAGTGCGTGCGCGCCCGCGTGTTTGCGTGTGCGTGCGTGCGTGTATGTATACGCGCGTGTGCCACCAACGGTCCGTGTTGATAGACGATCGATCGATTTCAGTGATAATATTAAACGCCCTGGCTGCTCTCTCTCCTTAACGAACCAATACCGCACGTGTACTCCTTTATCGGTGTCGATAATCGATTATTCCGAGGCTCTTTGCCAATTATGCTCCGAAAATAATTGTACGAGTGATAAAATACGGATAGGTCTCCTCCTCCTCCTCCTCCTCCTCCTCCTCTTCATTGAGAAATAACGAAATTAATAATTAATTCTTTTCTTCTTTCTAAAGAAAGTGAAGGTGAAGAATCTAGAAAAAGTGTTTTCTTTCTTTCTTTCTTTCTTTCTCTCTTTCCTTTTGCGCTACGATTTCGTTGCGCTCGTTTTTTCGACTCGTTAACTTTAACGACACGTCGCGTAAATAATAGATTAGACGCGTAAAAAATAGCGCGTACGATTTGTATCATTGAACAATCTTTTGTATATACAAATATTCGTGCGAATTTTGCGCGTGATTCGAGATGTAAAGAAGGAAAAAAAAAAAAAAAAAAAAAAAAAAGGAAAGAAAGAGAGAAAGAAACGTGCACAATGACACATTGTTAGCGTTGTGACGGTTAATTACCGTGTCGTGGAGCAATCGACGAGAAATCATTGTGCGGCAACGAGGTTTCGAAAGCAAACACGGGCTCGCGATTAATAGACGGACCTACGTCCAAGTCAACAAATCACTGGAATATCTACCGGCTCGTAATCACACTGTTCAGGGGATACAAATTGACCGGTCCGCGGTTATAGGTCGATTTTATTTGCCGTACGTGTAAAATACGCAATGCCCCCTCCCCCCTCCCTTCCTCCCCATTTCCAATGTCCCAGAATATTAATCTTCGTCCTCCGTTGTTGTCGTCCGCTCGCCGTTTTTATCGCCGTTCCAATTTGACGTGAATCAAAGCATTGTAGCTTTCTTCGTGAAATTTCTTTCGCTCTCTCACCCCTTTCAAAGGGGAGGGGGAGAAACGATGGATCGATGTTCTTCTCTTTTTTTTTTTTTTTCTTTTTAAATAGAATCTTTCTATTCGTGTATCGCACGAGGAAAGGATCGAGAGATGTTTAAACGCGGGATGGAGACGAACGTTTTTTGGAAAAATGAATTTTGAATTTTTTTCGATAGGGGAGGGAATAATAATAATAATAAAAAAATATGTACTAGCGCGTATATATATATATATAGATACAAAAATCATAGAGGGACGAAGCACACGATGCAACGACGAAGGAACGTAGTAGGAATGATACCTATATATATTTGATGATACTATAAAAATTGAATGACTCGTAAGAAATTTATATTGGCCATAAAAGCTTTTATCGCGGGCCAGGATATTCATTCCTTAACATTATTAATTTTTCTCGCTCGACAGTAAAATAGAGAGAGAGAGAGAGAGATGTGCACTAGAACGTGTACAACGTTACATGCAATAATGTTTTAAAGAAAAATGGAATAACTAGCGAGTATGAGTATCTTAACGATGCGCTTATCGAGTCGAATTCTTGGTCTTACTTGTTGCATTTTTGATGACGCATTCCCTACCTCGATATGCTCACGGTCGCGCATTGTATCGTATATCCTTTCATGGTTCACACTGTTCACGGCTCGAAATGGCATGTAATCGATTCCGGCGATAATTATACGCGTCAATAGTCGGAGCGTGACCATGTGACGTTCATTGTTTCTCAGCATGATGATTTCTGCCGGTAATGATCAATAATATGGAGAAGGATATGGAACGCGTCCGACGTTTCGAGTATAGATACAGTGAAACGCGATCGGACGTGAAACCTGTCAATTATCAAAAACGCGATCAAGACTGATGGCGTTCCAAGTAAAAATTTTCCTGCAATTCCGTTTTTCCTCCAATAATTTTGAGTCGTGTCGGTATATACTTTTACAATATTGTGCGTATCATCTTGATATACATATATAGAGATATATCGCGTTTATTTTAAAAGAAACGAGTCGAGTGACGCGACGATATCATAATAAGCAATAATTTCGAAGAAATTCGTATTTCTTAGAATTTCGAACGTGAAAATAATTATTTCCTAATAAAGGGAATATACTAAAATTTGCACAAGGACAATACTACGAATCTTCTGACCACGTTCTTATCTACTAGATATCAATCCTCACCGATAACTGCGGAACTACGTTTGATACGCGTCAATTTAGTCATTGTTTCCAATAATTAAAAAAAAAAACGAATAACTAAAAGTTAAAAATATCACTTCAAAACTTCAAAAGATTTAGAAACAAGGTGGAAAAAGATCCATACTGATCCACAACGAACTAAGATATAATTAAATAAATAAAAAAAGAAGCAATCTCGTAAAAACTTTACCCGAACGTTTTCATACGTGGAAACGAAACGAGGATTCTCCGTACAAGATTCTCTTAGACTTTTTTTTAGTCCCCCCTCCGAAACTAGGGAAAACCGTTTAAAGTGGAACCCTAAAAGCTATCGAGCCGTAAAGGAAGGACAACGTAATCAAATGGAGAGAACACGTAAGCGGTCAGCGATCGTTTTTATCTATCCGAGTTTGCGGCATGCAATCAGCGAGGCGCCCGTTGACTCGTGACGCTTCCGGTCCAGGCTTCCGCTCCGTGGAACCGCACCGTTTCCGTTCGGCTGCCCAGCCCACCACCACCGCCGCCACCGATCTGCCCCCCCCCCTCCCCATTCGTCGTACATCCCGTCGAATCCACGGAGAATCCACTATCGAAATCTCAGTGCCAGCGTCTCGTCATCGTAACAACACGCATCGCCGTTTCATCCACCCATCGTCCACGGATAATCGGGTCGAGTGATTTTCGTGATCGTTGTTCCAGAAGGAAAACCGGGCGGCGCCTCTGTCGATCGAGGATCGATCGTCTAATGTGTGTGTATATATGTATATATATATATATATTAGACGATCCTCGAAATTGATCGGCCAAGTCGCCACGACCGTTGTTACATAGGATAATATATATGTGTATATATATATATATATAGATGTGATATTGGGTGATCATCGTAGAATTCTTCCTTGCCGATCGTTACGAAGAAGAAGGCTCTTTCGCGTTACTTATTTGCCAAAAGTTGTCGGTTGGAAAGTGTTGGAAGGAGGATGATGGAAATGGATCGTTTTATGTAGGGGGTACGATTTTTACGTCCCTCTAGAAAGTTTCCAATAGAGGGATGCTCTTACGTACAATAGGAATACGAATCGCGTGTGACCGATGTTAATCGGACTCCTTCGAGGGAGGGAAAAAATTGGACGAAATGTCTGGTATTGTCGAAGATCGTCCAACAGCATCGATTATATCCTCGTCGTATCGAATATCGATGGACGTTATCCCCCGTCCGGGGAAATATCTCAACGTTGGCGGCGAAAGTTTCGAGAAAATAATTTCTATTAATTGTCATCTTACAACGACGTCGTTCAAAAGATCGTAGCGACGTTTAGAGATATCAGAACCTCGTTTCTATCGTTCATCCTCCTCCCCTCCCTCTCTCATCGACTTATACTTTTACGATCATCGATCGCTCGAGTGATTCTCTCTCCCGTTCCATCCTCCTCGATACACGAATACAAAGGACAAGAGTATTGTAACGAGTCGCGAAGAAGAATCCCGAGACGATAAAATGGACGAGATAACGGAATAGTGCGCGTTCCCTATCCACCACTTATTCCTAGTAAAGTAATTCGAATCGATTTTCGAGACGACGAAACCGATTTCAATAATTCGTAACACGTTGCAAACAGGTTCCATTATTCTCGAAATCTCGCGCTTGATATCCTCGCGCTGCTTGATCGACGAGGAGCGTGCCGCTGTACGATAAACAAGCGGTATGCACGGTTCCTTCCGAGAGAAAGAGAGAAGGGGAAGCGACGAACCGTATCGGTGAACATAGTTTGGTCATCACGATGGCCGGCCGGTGGCTTCTAATCCGAGCGGAGGTCAAGCTGGATGACAATCAGCGCCGATCATCGTCGACCGAGAAAAAGTACGAGTGATCGGTGGAACGAACCGCCTTGTGCACGCTTGTGTTACTACGCTTAATTGTGGTGTGTGTTCGTCGCGGTGTGGTTTGGACGCGGCGAAAATGGCGGTGGTGCCAGTGGGTAAGAATAAATTGAAAATAGGCAGCGCCGGCCGATACTACAGCGCCTATCTCATCTACGACGTGGCGAACTCGTGTCTGGCCGCGTTGCACGCCAAGATGCCTCCTCCGGTTGTCGTCACGCGAACCAACCCTCCGTCTCCTGTGCACGTCCAGAACCCCCGTAAGTTTTCTTCGCTTTCTGTTTTTTTCTATTTTTCGGCCAGGCCGAGAAACTTGGCTGCTGCTGAACCCGCGCTAAGCTCGCGAGCCCAGCAACGCGCTCTCGCTTCCCATCCATTTCGCGCGTCCCTCTCCTCGATCGTTGCAGCCAAGTAACGAGCGAAGGAAGCTCGCGAGAGAACGGGAAGATTTCTCTCGTATTCGTATTTTATTTATCTCGACGGGAAATAACAGATTATTTATTATCTGAATAATAATAACGCAAAACACTCCGCCCATACCTCTTCTCGCAGCTTTTACGTACCACTTTATAAACATCTTTTTAAGGCAACATCTATAAGATTAAAAATTCACCGCTTAAACTACACTACACTCCCGGTACTGTTTACAAACGATAGTATCGCTATCGTGTTATAGTAATAGCCGTGTATCCGCTCCTCTATATCCGTTATAACCTCGGTCATAATCGGTGACGTAGTTTCCTCTGTGCAGGACCATCGAATCGAGAAAAGAGGGGGAGGAGGAAGGGCGATAAGTTGAGCGAGTTAGTGGAGAAAGATGAGAGGAGACGAGAAACGGGAGAGCGGGTGTCTGAAATTAAAACGCAAGGAAAAATTTGTCGAAATAAAACGCGTTGTTTCTCAACCGTGGCTGCTATATCTCCTGGAAAAGAAATTTCCAATATTTCGATCCCTCTCACGTCCACGAGAAATTAATAAAATCCCGCGTTTCATCGACGTTGCACATTGACATTGCACCCCGATCGGATTCGAGGGGAACAAATTTCCCTTCGATTATTCGATACGCCTACTCGATCTCGGCATTCCTCCCCTCTTCTTTCGGTTCGATTTCGGCGCGAGCAGGCAAACAAGGCATAGGTGGCGGGCGCAGGAAGGGTGGAAACACCCTACGAGACGGGATAGCGTGTCTGTTTTGATTTATAAGAATTCGCCACGAACCCCTAACCTACCTTCCTAAGTCTGGCCTCACCCCTGCCTCCTTCTAGATCGGGCTAGATCAACCCCACCACCTCCCTCCCTCCTCGCGCACCTATCTCGCGCGTGAATAATAGGCAGGTACCCAACTACCCGTCTTTCCGTTAACCTCGCCTCGTCCTTCACGCCTCTCCTTCTTCTTTTTCTTTATCCTCCCTCTTTTGCCACTGTCTCCCGTGCCGGTGCACCGATCGCTCTTCCCTCCGCGGACAACGGACGAGCTTCGTCTTCGTTGTCGGTCGACGAAACTATCTATCAACTCGGTTCCGTTCGTACATAATGCGATACAGGGGAATCGTGATTGATTTTTTTTCCTTTTCTTTTTTTTTTCGAATCCTTTTCGATTTTATATTTTTATATTTTTCGAAAATTTGTTTCTTTTCTTTTCTTTTCTTTTCTTAGCAAGTTTCGTACTATTCGATGAAGTAAACGATTTAAAGATGAGATTTAAATTTAAAATCCCTTTTTAATGTGGATTCGAGAGAATTTTTCTAACGCGAAATTATAAAAAATTATGAACAATCTAGGAATTGTTTTGGGAATATTTTGTTTTATTTGATTGTTACAAGTTCGATGCTAGCAGTAAGAGGGATTAAATTAGCAAAGCTTTTGTAGAGAGATTAAAGAAGTGAGCAGTTCAAAATTATTTTTAGTGTGATATAAAATCGGATATTTCAATTGATGTTGAATGAGATACAGGCTGTCGTGAATGATTCTTTTTCGTTGAATCAATTTGCATTTTTTGATTTTCTATTTTTGATTTTTTTTTTTTTTTTTTTTTGGTAGTTGTCTTATCCACTATAATAAACGATGCAAAATTTAAACTTTATCCCTTCTTAACGTCGATTCGAGAATTTCTGACGCGAAATAAAATTAGAAAAATTATAAAAGTCTAGGGATTGTTTTTATTTTAATTGATAAATAAATTCAAAATTTTTCTAACGAAATTAAACGAATGGATCGATTCCATTCAAAATTATTTTTTTAGCATAACAACATCGGATATTTTTCATCTGATCAGCAGATGTTGAATTGGACTGCATTTGCAGTGCACAAACGAAAATTAAACACGCCTGCGTCATGTTTCAATAACACAATAGCGTCCATCAATAGTTCAATTTAGCTTTTATCTCTAATAACTTTCTAATATCCGCTCTTTACGTGCGTACGAAAAATAATCTCGTAAGTTTCAAGTTTTATTTTCAATTTCATTCTCATCAAAAGACTTGCAAACAAATCTCTCGAATATATTCTCTCGAATATCCCCTCTTTCTCGTTCTCCCCGTGGATGATCTCGTCGCTGGTCAACGAGACGATCTATCAACGTTTGTGCCAAGGAACAAGAACCGTAACAAAACATTAGCGAGTCACGGAAGATTTTGCATTGACGTTTCGCAGCAGTGTACATATATCGAGGACGCGCCATCAATCTTTTCGCTTTAATGCACGGCCAGTTACATTCTCTCCATCCTCGAGAGAAGTCGCAACGCTTTCGAATATGCGAATTATTTATTTTCAATCGTCCGATCATCGTAATTTCGCACGATTCTTCACCTTCGCTTTTCACCCTCTCTTTTTTCTATAATTCGTAGATCGTATAATTCGTAGATCGTAGATTTTCGTAGAAAGGTAGAAACGATCGATCTCAATATCGATCATCAGAAATTTGAAATTTAACTCTGAAAAAAAAAGGGGGATAGAAATCGTTCCAAAAGGCAAACCGATGCAAAATGTGTGTTCGAATATATATATATATATATATATTTTTTAATACACGCGTTCCTTGCATTCGTCAAAGGAATGTTTGAATTCTGAGAGAAATAACCGCGTGCTGATTTTTTTTTGAATCTTTTGAAACCTCGATCTCCATTTCGTCCCCTCGCAAAGGGAAATAATACACCATTACGTGGACTTTATTCTCCCGTTGAAAAAGCGTGTGTTAAAAGCGCGTGTACGAGGAGCACGATCCCAGATAATACGGGATAATGCAAGAAATACGTTGCTTATACCTTACAGTTTCCTGCTAATGTTAATTAACAGCGAGCAACATCGCGCCAAGTCGCAACGCAGGGGGAGGGGAGGAACTGCCGTTAAAAAAAAAAAAGAAAGAAAAAGAAGAAGAAGAAGAAGAAGAAAAAGTTTCAATGATCCGAACAAGGAATAAATACCTTGGTTAGAGGACAGGAAATGAAACGTCTACTAAACTTTTTCGATACACGCCACTGTCGACCTACTTACCTTCCTCAATGAAAGCTTTCGCGGTGACGTACCGAGTTAGGCATAATGCGGCTGTCGGTTTTAATCCACGCGATTAAGAAAAAAAGAAAAAAAAAAAAAAAAAAAA